AGGGCTGTTATCTTTCCTTCTACTGAATCAGTCTTCCTCTGATAGCTGGGAAGAAGAGATGCGGGCTACATCTTCAGAACTTCTTGCACGCTGACCACCAGTGAGCCAGAACAGGGATGAGAAGCCAGGACATTTCTTACTGCCTGGTCAAACAAAGTGTGCTGCTGTCGAGACAAACACCTGAAGCAAACAGTTTTTAAAAGCTACAAGTTGTAAAGGTCTACAGCAAACCTCCTCTGACTTGCTAACTGCCTTGGGTAGAGAGCAATGTCCAAGTCTTGTACTGTTTTAGTCATTATGGCCCCAAAGGCAGCGTAGCCTTCCAACGGGTCGTGGTTTTTTGGTACCTACTGCTTGCATTTTTCACTTTCCACCATCTCTCACATTCAAAAACAGTTAAATTTGTATTTTCCCCCCAAATGCAGCATCCTATGTATTAATTAGCATATCCTTTAGATGTTCAGTCTTTATCATCCTAACATGCTTTTTTAGGTTCACATTTTCACCCCATCTGCATCTCATCAATGCTTTGAATAAAGAATGGAAATACACAGAAAAATCAGACATTTTCAACCATCCTATTACAAGTTTTTTAATCATACTATCATCACTAGATTTCTTATTACAAGAACAGCTTATTATTATTTAAGCATCTATAATGTTTTCATAAAAAGTTTGAAATATGTTTTAACAGCATATTTATAAGTTTAAAGCCTCTTTCCGAGGAGACTCTTTTCATAAATCTTAAGTGATCACTATTTCTGTATTAATCCAATTTATTAAACAAATAAAGCAGTATCCTGATGTGAGCCCAAGTTAACAAGATTTACAAGAATCCAATTTGCCAGGGATAGTTTGTGTAACAACATAAACAGCTTACATCAGCAAGCAGAGTTCTGCTCTACAGCTTTTGAAAATGTAGTCTTTATCACTGTTTTACCATTTCCCACCCCAGTTTCAGAAGCACAGTAATTCATGTGAGTGAGCTGTTGAGTGAGAGTCTAGAAACTGCTTCCTTAAACACATACAGGGGAAAATTAGGGAAATCAGTAAAAGTTGTCAAGATCGACCCAATACAGAACTGCTCAAGACCACTTTCACAAGCAGTTTCTGAGTAGTAAGTTTATATACAGAGAGAGTTTGTAGTTGGAAAGCTTTCCTTTATGTAGTCGGGCTTAGAACTCCAAAGACAAGCTAAATTGCTGGCTTTCTAGAAATGGTGATACCATACAATGTAAGCAGTTGCATAGTTAAACCAAGTTTGTACGTTTATTAAATCCTTTCTTACATGCTGTAGATGCAAAAAGCTACCTTTTACGCTTCTTTGTGTCATTTTTTGCACTCGACAACTTAAAACCACTGACATTTCTAGGGCAAGTAAGTTCGTTTTATAGAACAAGTTGTAGCATTATGTTCAGGACTAGCTTATTCTGACACTCTAGTTAACCACTTGATGAAATAAATTTTCAACTACTAAAAGCCCATCTCAGGACCAAAGCTATATATGGCTGAGTTAACCTTTCACCACTAGAATTCTGAACTTACTACATAAACTGGTTGAGATCATACAAGCATAATCCTCACCATCACTTTTTAAAATACATTTCTGTCAAACAACCCTGCTGAGGTTTCCTATGCATGCTAGTCTGATCTCTACACCTGTAAATGCCATTCTATACCCTCAAAGGTTAGCCTTCAGCCTCTGAATAAAGGACAATGTATCTTCACAGACCTTAAACGTGTTATGTAAAATTAGAAGCTGCAACTTTTTTATGCAAAGATTATACAGAACAAGGATAGCATAAATAAACTGCTGAACAATCACTAGACAATGCTTCCAGACCAAACCGCATTCTACGTCTGTAGAACAGATCTGCACTTGACTCCAAAACAAAGACCCCCACCACTGTCTCAGATGACATACTATGTTTCATCTTACAAGAGTGACAGGCATGATGAAGGAGGAAGTTATGTGTCTTAACCTAAAATAAAAACAAGCACAGAAAAATGGAAGCTTTGTGAAACCCAGTGTTATGGTCACAGAAATGGAAATCTAATATTTATACACAGGAGCACTTAAAATCCTGAAATACAGACCACTTAAAACTTCACCATGATACATGACATGGCTCTCCGTACCAAACAGGAAGCCAGTGCCCCAAACCGATGTTAAATACTTACCTCCACTGCCTCATATTAAGACTTCTAATCGTATTTGTATATCGTAAAGACTTTCAATTATATTTATAATTCCTGTCATTAGGATCTTCCTTAAAACACAAACAGAAGACTCAAATTAAGCTTGTTCCAGCAAATTTTCCAAGTGATAGGCACCAAGCATGCCTCTCCCTGGACTGCTGCTGGCTAGCCTAAGAATCCAGCCACATGTGGTGGTTTATCTCCACTAACACCGAAGTTAGTGCTAGTTGCTCCAAACACTGACTTTGCACAAGCTTCGTTTCATTCCAACTCATTAGGTTTTCAACCATAAGCTCTACACAAAACTGGCTTTGCCACACAGGCTCTTTTATTCAGGCAACAGGAAACACTGCTTAGGTAATGGTGGCCAAATAGCATCCAACAACATAAACTGTCCAGTGGCAAAAACTAAGTACCCTTAACTAATTAAGTAATGTCATGGCCCCCCTGTATGGACATTTAATCAGTTCTCTATAGACCGTACCATACATTTTTCTGTTTTGACTCTCTTTCACCCTGTGCCTAGTATGCTTTTGAATTGCTTACCCATCTTCTAAGGATGCATTTGGGTGCCAGCGACTAAAAGCATCTCCATTTAGTTCATAGTAAACGCCTTTAAATACTGTAAATTAACATTTCCTAATTTTATAGAATCATAGAATAGTTAGGGTCGAAAAGGACCTTAAGATCATCAAGTTCCAACCCCCCTGCCATGGACAGGCACACCTTGCAGTAAACCATGTCACCAAAAACTTCATCCAACCTGGTCTTGAACACCACCAGGGATGGAGCATTCACAGCTTCCTTAGGCAGGCAACCCATTCCAGTGCCTCACTACCCTCACAGTAGAAAACTTCTTCCTTATATCTAACCTTAAGTTCCCCTGTTTAAGTCTGAATCCACAGTCTCATCATACAATATTAAAGCACATTGTAAAGACATTTGTTAACTGGATTGTAGTTGGGCAGTCATCCTCAAGTACTTAACCACTTTTAACTCTGTTCTCCTTCATATTTTTCAGGCTTGCACAGCATGTCTTTTCCCCTATGTATTATGCTAACATTTTTACCAGCACTGTAATTTTCCCATAGGAAACACTACCACAGAATAATCACCCAACTTCTAAATGTGGGTCAACCTCCTCCATAAAAATCAAACCTACACCTCCCAAGTTGCAGATAGGCTAGAAGTTATTTAGTAATTAAAGGTTGCTGAAACCTAGCCCACACCATATATTTTCACTACTAAAACTGATTGCAAGCCAAATTCCCTATTTCATGAAACTACAGCTTCATTTCTAGCAGCACTCCTAGAACACTAAGTCAGTGACGACTAATGCTAAAAAAGGCAGATACATTTAACCAGCTTAAAATCTCTTACATAAGACCTGAAATAATCAGACAGAAGACTTAATATCTGCCAGGAGTTTGATGTAACATGATTGAGTCTTAGTGCATTTCAAGATCATTTTAATTATTTTCCTAAGAGTAAACACCCTTAAAAAAGCACAACAGTTTGACTTTACTAATTAGTGCGAATAGCAATGTTCAAAGGAAGAATGTACTAGAATATTCAAACATACTTATGTAACTACATTTCTGTAATAAGGGATACAACACAGCATGTAGAGAATAACCAAAAACTCTTCAAACATCATAAAAATTACAAACAAGTTATATACTTACATATATGTGTATATTCTACAGAAAATATTTCCAGAATAAGTACAGTGCAAGCTAGAGAACATAAAGTGCTGTTCCAGTGAGATAACAGAGCTTTCAGAAAATACAAAGCTATCTGTGTGCAGCACTGAAAAAACTACCATAATAATTCTTCAAATACACTAAAAGACTACCAAATTCAATATGGTAATAACTATTTTTGCTTTTACAGATCTTTTCTTTTTATCTAAATGGTATTAAATGAGGAAACAGGAAAATAGAGAGACACTCTCTATTGCTCTGATAGATTAATATCATTACTTTGACAAAGCAAGCTATGGGAATTAGGGAGTCTCATACCAAAAATACAATAAATTTCAGAAGCACTACTAGAATTAAAGGAAGCAGAGATGACCAGCATGGCTGCAAAGAGTAAAGACAGAAAGAATATTAATACAAAGAGCCTGAAGTTTTCACTAAGGAATTCACACACCATAACAAACACGTCTAATGATACCCTAGGCAATAAGACAACACAAGCAGTTTCACATGCAAATAAGCACAAGAAGAACAGCTATTGCTTGCTTTTGGTTTTTAAACAGACTATGAACACGTCAAGTCTACTGGTGAATTTCTTCACAGAGATCCGCTGAGAGTGTTTTCAACAGGTTTAGCAAGGCAGAGGGATTGTTTAAGAGCCCGCAAAAAGTAGTGCTGAGAGTTTTTTCCCCTAAAGGAAAGGATCTTTCAGTAGAAGCAATTGTTAAGAGATCTTTACCCAAAGGTTCCAAGCACAAGTGGTTTATCACAACACTTCTGTTTAAACACATAAATACCAGAGAGATTAAATGTGACCACTGGCTACAGGATTACACACAGATAATGACTTACCATCATGTGGACTGCTCTCCCACAACTCATAACATGCTTTAATAAAACTAGTGCACAAAAAAATTATTTTTCTTTTTCCATTTCAGATTAACATATAAGGATACAAAGAATTACATTCAATATTTCAGTATGCTTTCTTCCTTACCTCTTTACTGTAAAAGGCAGCGGTTTTGAACCAACATTTCGAAGAGATAAGTAATACCAGCATTTAAGTTCTTTAAATCCTCTGTAAAAATAGTTTTGTCTTACCATAACCATGGGCAGATCCTGGGCTGAGAGAAGGTTGGTGTAACTCTTTGGTTGGAGTAAAATAGACTTCTTTCCCCTGGTGCTGGCTCATTTTTCCTGGAGTTAAATGCTGTGCCTCATCGCTGTTTGTTACCACTGCTGAAATATAAAATGGATGCTCATTCAATAATGTTATGTGCTTGTGAATAGATTTCTATTAACAACTTCACTGCTATTTATAAAATGGATTCATATGTTATGGTGTGAAATTTTTCATTCCAGATAATTAGGATTCCAAACCAAAGATCGGCTTTTGAGGGGATGGCATAAAGAAGCCAACAAGACTGATAGAAGACATGAGGCAGAAGATGAAAACAAAAACTAGGAGGTAGGGGAAGGCTGCTACTGAATATAGATACAGTATTAAGCTGTTAACACCTGAAATCCTGCTTTTCTTTCCACTTTTGTGACAGTTCTCGTTTTAACTAGCCACAAAACAGCCAACCCAGGAAACTACTTGCAGATCTAGCTGTGCCATTATCCCAGAAAGTTAAGATGAACATATGTATATACACCACAAGAACCAAAACTAATCAATAAAGATCATGTACAGACTCTGTCAAGGTACAAAGCCAGACTAGATGAGGCTTTAAGGAATCTTCTCTGGTGGAAGGTGTCCTTGCCCATGGTGGAAGGGTGGAACTATACAATCTTTAAGGTCCCTTCCAACCCAAACTATTGTGTGATTCCATATGAAGACAAAGGTTTAAGGCAGAAGTTTCTCTTTGAACCTTGCCAGTCTGGAAGAATTGTGCGACATTTTCTAGCTATTTATAAGATCACCTGCCCAGCCATCCTGTTTATGGTGTCTGCATATTTCCTTAAGCTGCACACAACAAAATTGCACCCTTTTTCATAGTGGAAGAATAGCAGACTCAGTTAACACCTGCCACGTGGAGCAGATAATACTGACAAAAAATGATCAGAGGAGGAAACAACAGATGTTTACTAAAGAAGAGCCTGCACTGGGCAAACATGCTGTCCTTGATTCTGCAGCTTAAGAATAGCTTACCTTTGAGGTTACAGACTGGCATTTACATTTTTCCAAGTTCCCTTCTATCCCAAAACATTCTATGATTGGAATTCTTCTTAAGTTTCACATGCCATCTCTACAACTTGAAAAACAGATTTGGTAGGCATATGCTCAATGTGTCTGACAGGACAATAGCACTGCCAATGGTTCTTTCCACTCAAAGGCGTGCTGATTTACTTTCAGCCCTTCATTCAGGCTTCACAGAGCACTTATGTAAGAGATGTATCTCTATTCATCCCCTCCTTTACCTGAGTGAGTTTAAACCCCTTCCATCTATCTCCCTGAAGATGAGCAGAGAGCTATTTTAGGGAAGAAACATCAAGTAGTAAATACCAAAGCCTCCTCACAACTCTTTGGAGGGCAATTTCAATACCAAGAGAACTATTAGAGCTGATAATACATACTTTATTCAATTTCCTCATACTGGCTATCAAATTACTGATACATAGTTTGTCAGTATGATTCATGCATCAGAAGAAACACAAATTGGGGTCTTTGCAGCCTATTCATTTCATCATAAAAAGCTATGAAGAGTAACAAAATATCTGAAGTGGCAGATTCCCAGTTCCTCTGTTTCGATAATGAGCATGTTAAAGTGCCTACACTCTTGAAAACAGCAGAAGGACATCAGATACAGGAAAAAGGTTTATCATAATTCAATTCTGCATTATTTTGTAATGCCTATAATAAGCAATATAAGCTAAAACCATGGCTTCTACATGGATTTCTCACCAAGAAGAAAGAATTGGTGCCTGTACCTTTCTCTTCCCCACATAAATGAATTCTTAATCCCAGGCAAAATTATTCTGCCAGTCAGATGACCATACTAATGCACATGAACCAGTGAAACTACTAAGCCTTCAGACGCATGCATGCACCTATATACATACACTGAAGTTTTCCCCATGAACACATCACACCCAATCCTTACTGAAGTATTACAGAACACACACCTGTTTATTTCTGTAGATGTTAAGTTATTAACATTAGGCGAACTATAGAGCCCTATAAATAGACAAGCTCAAATAAAAACTGTTTCTGAACCATTATTTCCATGTCTTTACTATCTCTACTACAATAACATTTGAAAGTTTCATTTCAGAGTGATAGATATATTGTTTTCTTTTTCAGGTACATAATTTAAAAGATTTATTTGTTCTCTAGCCATGACTGGTAAGGTGAAGAATAAACTTTTCCCAACAAATAATAATAATAATAAAAAAAAAGGTTAACATAAGAAAACATTTAGATGAGCAGTATGCCAGGTAAAATACTTCCAAGAGTAAATTTTCATCGTACTTCAGCTTCACAATCACGATACAGAAGGAAACCTAGTATTTAGCCCAGCATGCCTACATGCAAAGGTATAGCCTATTATAAGCACATGTGCAAACATACTGTAGGAGAGGGGAATCACTTACTTGATGGTCCATGAGAGTCTCTGTTATCACCATGATGCTGTGTACACATACAATTGAAGAACGAGGAACAGCAAACATAAAAATCCAGGCCAGGAAGAAGCAAGTGCGCAAAAGCAGCAGCGGGAAAGAAGGACAATGAAAACAGTGTTAGTTCACAACTAAAATACAACATGCACCTCAATACCAAAGACAAGGCATCAAGAGACTTGGCAATTCAGAAAAGTTGAAGCAACAAAGCTGACAAATACACTTATAGAGCAGCCATTATTAGAAGCCAATATCATATACGGTTAGTAAACAGTAAGTGACCCGACTGCTAATTCAGAGTGGAACCTCTCCATCAGAAATGTAGTGCTCAAATGACTTGATTCACAGTATATTACAAGAAATGTTTAGCTGGAACGTTTTCAGAAGACTAAAGCTCTGAAGAAAGATGAAATACCAAAACTTGTTTCCAAAACTGCTCCACTCTCAGGTATTTTGGAAAGACAAAATCTTCTAAGCCATCAGTAATGTGCAAGCGCTCACTAATGTCACATCCTAGCCTAACTGCTTTTGCACACAAACGTGAACTTAGAAGCCACAGATTCAGTTAATCTATAAACACATGGAACATTTTCAATTGCTCGGAATGCAAGACAAGCATGCAGCTTAAAATTTAAGAGGACATTTTCTACCAAACTATTTCCAAAGAATCAAGGTGTATAACAAATTATCTCTGCACACCGAATGTATCAAATATAGGCACTACAGGCAAGTAATTATATAGTAACAGCATGACATTTGATCTGGAATCTTTTTTAAATCATTGCTACCCAAGGTCACAACTGCAGCTAAGTTCCCACCATGTTCGGCCATATACAAACATAAGGCAAGTTCCACCTATGTCTTAAAGGACTTCCTACTTTTGAAATCCACAAAGAAAAGGAGGAGAAAACAAGCATACTGATCAGCATGAACATTTCCTCCTTATAAACAAGGTAAATCCAAACATGCTGCTCCATAAAGGAGAGAAAAAAAAACATCTGCTCCATAAAGGAAAGAAACCCTCACTCTGTTTTAAAGAAAGTCTAATCTTGCCTCTCTGTTATGAGGACTAAACAGCAGGGAACTTGAAAAATAAAAATCTTAGCAAGGAGGAATCTTGTCTTACAATCCTGATCTCAAAACAGTGACTTTTTATCCCTCATGGCTGACTAGGGGTATTAAATTGACAGTGTAAAGTGCAAATGTAAAGTACTGCAATGAGAATACAGCAATTGAAGTGCACATCATCAGAAAGGTGAGGAAACCCTTCTTTAATTATGCTGCACTTTCTGGAAAAGGACTTGATTAAACAGGAGAAGCAAAAATAAACTACAGGCGCACTTGGCAAACAATCTTCCACTCTGACAGAGAATAAATTTAAGTCAGACTGAAACACTGCTAAGAGAACTTATCACACAGGTTCAGGTACTAGTATATGAAAAGCATTTGAGAATTCAACGGTTTTCAAGACAAAGTGTTTCTTTTCAATGTACAGATAACATACTGCAACTAGGAAACAATTTATGTTCAGACTGGAACTGTATTGTCCTACACAGGTTTTAGATTCAGGAGAACAATGACTGACAAGAGACCAAGATAAAGGAGTCTGCAGTAATTGTACAGAGATCCAGCAGCTGACTGAAGGGCTGAGAACACCACTATTCAGCACTGATCTGCTTTACTGCATGCTAAAAGTTGGAAGGCAAGAGAAGAGAACTGGAAAAATAAACTGCTAACAGACACAGAGGATCAGAAGTTTCTGAGACTCGGACAGCATGTCCACTCACAGTGCATACTTACACGTTGAAGAAACAGAGTGAAAAAGCACCGCAGCAGGTCCTGTCTCACTGCCTGCCTCTCAAGCAGCCTTGACCAAGATACAATATGACACCACAGAGCAGGGCAACTCGTCACCTGAGATGATGCAGGGGCTTTTTATGTAAATATTTTAGCATGACATGGTTAATCCTATGAACTGGTACAAACAGCTCCTACGCCAGAGGCTGAAACACAAGCCTGCCTAACTCTGTCCCTGATCTTCTCCAATAGACATTCTGTTTACACACCAAACTGTCTCCGTTGCTGCTCAACCCCCTCTCTTCATTAGAGCTATTTGGGCCTGTGTATTTACCTAAGACCTGCAGAATATATATTTCTAAATACTGATGCAAGATTTTAAGATACTGAAATGAGACTATTTTAGCCAAAAAGACCTCTTCATTTTCCAATAACCCACTGCATCTCTGTCATCTGCAATTCATAACACTACAGACTAGGCATTCAAACCCCTAAGGCAACAAGCCATGACAGTGCTTCTACTTGAGAGTTTTCTCCGAAAAAAATGTCCTCAGAGCATTCCAGTCCATCAGCTCCCACAGTTTTTATTCTCAATATACAAAATTAAGAGAAGCACACACTTATTTCCCGAGAGAGCCTACATTTATTTTAACATTTATTTAACTGATGACTTTGCTTACAGATTACAGAACAAGTCCTTTGACAAGGGAGGTTCTTAACACTACGTGACTGATTTAGCTCTGCTGAGGCACATTTAGTTAAAAATGTTGCTACCAAAATACACAAAACCTACCCCTCCTCCCAGTAAGGTTTTAGATTAAGACTAAGGAATAAACCCAGCAATATAAACCATCACATGAGACAGCAGCCATAACTCTCTTTTCATACAAAAGCAGCACTGTGCTTCAGAAAAGCACTTAGACGTTCATTTCTCAGAAACAGAACAACTGTTACTAAACCTAAAACTGTATCTGCCAACTTGTACTATAAAAAAAAGTCCTTTTCCTATCAAAGATTAGGGTAAAAGCAAAAATGTATGTCATGATATCATATCTGAATCTCACACTACAAAAATAAAGCTTTTTAAAAATACTGACTAGATTTAAAATCTAAACCTACACATAAATTCTTAATACAGTTTAAACGCATGCTTTAAAGCCAAGTCAGAGTTTTCACCCTGCTGAAGACAGGCTTTTCCTGGAGGCAGTCTCTAATATGTGTCAATCACTAAGATTACATTTAAATTCAGACACATTACAATAAGATACATTTACATTCAGGACCACTAACCCAACCTGCAAAGCTGATCAATAAAAAGGACTTCTATTCCATGCTCCAAGGAAAAGAGGTACTTTTTCTGCTGATGTATTTAGATAGCAAGGACTGACTGTATAGGTTGTATGAACAACTGATGCTGCTGATGTATTTAGATAGCAAGGACTGACTGTATAGGTTGTATGAAAGGCAACATGTTTATGAAATATATGTTCTGACAAAAATCAGAACTGACTAGAACGTTTTCTTTAAAAAAATCATTTAGAATAAGAATGGTTTACATCAGACATTCTCACGTTATGTCCTCAGTTCTGGGCCAGTGAGGCTTGTTTAAAGTGAATTATGATTTTATAGAAAAAAAAGGCAAAACTTGTTCTCAAGAACTCAAACCAAAGTGTCTAATATTTCGCATTGCTTCAATAGTGCTAGACTACAAAAATAGTTTGCTAAGCTGTCATCACATCTGCATTCAGGGACAGTATATATCAACCTAATTACAAGACAGGAAAAGCATTTCATGCAAGATTTTTCTCCACACTGATTCTGGAAAGAAAAGCCCACAGTATTAAGTCCTGTGACCTCCTTTTTTTCTCCCATGAGCCAACAAATACAGTAGAAAGCTGACATCTCTAAAATGGGCTTTTTCAGATACCTTCCAGAAACCCCTCAAAGGACTTAAAACTGTGTAGCAGTATGTTGATCAGTGTTCTTCCTGCATGTTTGCAACTCATGTACTTCATGAATTTTAATCAGACTAATGAAACAAAACAAAAGGGTTCTGGAGATGGTCTCTTCAATAGGAACTCTAGTGACAGGACAAGGGGTAATGGGTTCAAACTTAAACAGAGGAAGTTCATGTTAGATGTAAGGAAGAATATCTTTACTGTGAGGGTGGTGAGGCATTGGAACAAGCTGCCCAAAAAAATGGTAAATGCTCTATCCCTGGCAGTGTTCAAGGCCAGGTTGGAGGGACATGGTCTAGCGGAAGGTGTCCCTGCCTATGGGGACACCCCAGAGGTGTTGGAACTAGATGATTTTAAGGTCCTTTCCAACCCTAACCATTCTATGATTCTATGACTGCAGCTAAGTCTGCAATACTGAAAAACCTCAAACATGACACTTCAAAAAAATTCAGACTTCTGGGAAGTGTCAGGATTTGCAAACACTCAAGGTCTTTGGGATTATTGGATCCAATCACTCTTAATATATATGCAGTGCATACCTGAGCAAGTACATTAGACTTGCAGATAAACTTCCAGAAATGTTTTTATCAGCCATAGTGCAATACATAAAACTCCACATTGTAACTGCAATTAAGACAATTACCCTACCAGATGTTTTTTTGGTAAGAAATGCTTAGAGTAGCCAATCACAGTATACCATCAGTTAAAAAAACTTGTTCTGAGATGATAATTCGGGTGCTTAAGCACAGGGATGAAAGGCAAGTATATCCCTACTCTCAATATTCTTCTGAAGCCGACTTCGTAAAGTACATATAGCCTCATTTCAAGACACCTTCTTAAAATCATGCTATTGTGAAGGCAGGTCACAAAAAGAAAACTAACACATTTCAAACTACTTCAAAGTTTTTTGTAAACTGGTACTTCTTTTATTATTATTTTAGGAAATATGGAGCACAGCAACTGAATTGACGATTTTCTTAAATAAATATCTTATTGCACAGCTGGCATACGGTACTCACAGTATCATAGATGCACTGGCCCTGCCACAATCAATGAATTTGTTTATTACAGAAAAAAAGCCAAGGATTTTCTTAATGCACTGCAAAATGTCTTGCCTCCAAATTCGTCACTTAAGATAAAGGCAGTGATAAAACACTTAGTCAAATTAATACCTCCATGCAGAAGTTGAACTATTTGCAAATAATGTCTATGACTATGAAGTTTTATTGAGCTTTACCTCAGTTACAGAAAAAAATATACCCTATTTTGCCTTTGGGAGGCAGTGCTTGTATCAGAGAACAGCTTTGGAAACTAAAGATCATTTCCTGCTTCAGGTTTTACAGTCCTTTCACATAACACAGCTTGCAGAAAAATTAAACTCTTAAATAATTTCAATGTTACAATGATGATGAAATGTCATGCTACTCACAAGCCTTTCCTGGTTTTAAACTGTGCTTAGAAAGGAAGAGCTGGTAATTTCACTACCTCAGAAACTCTTGATAATCAGTGCAGATTATCAACTCTTTCACCTGAAATGATTCTGTTAATATATAATAATCATTCCTCCTGCCTTCTGTGCTCCTCATTCCATCAATAAATACAGTATTTTTTTCTTTTACTCAGTCACTAACTAGGAAAGTATCAAGTAGTAAGACCGAGAGGAATACCTTTTTCTTTTGGGACATCAAGGATCAAACCCAAGAATCATATGTTTTTGGACATCCACCCCTCTTGCCATGAGAATCTAGTAAATGACGGATGATACTAAATGATATTCCAAATGCATTCACCAGAAAAGTATTGACTCAAATCAAACCAGACCATACTCAAAATGCTTAATCCTCTCCCTGCATCTTCACATCCATCTGACTACATGAAGCCAGATTTAAGCTACTCACTAAATTTCTCTCGAATTCCCCATCAACCGGAACAGTCTCCATGTTGAAAAGGCCCACCCGTTGTTCGTCTCTCTGTCAGAGTTCTTCCATCCTGCTATTCGAGATCCTGGAGAGGGAAAGAAAAACATAAGAATTCAATTCCAGCATCTAAAATTTGTTCAAGAGCTTCACTCCTTCTCCCCTACGTTTTAGGAGGATAAATAGTCTGCTATTATAAACTGTGCATATTACAGCTCCTTGCAGAACATACACATCACCCATAAACCCCAACTTTTTAAGAACAGAGAGGGTAGTTTCAAGTAAAATGGGCAAAATTAAAGGTACTCAAAGAGGCAAGCATTTACTTTTACAAATAAGGAAGAATTATGCTGGAAGAACACAAGCAACAAACAAACAAAACACACACACACACAAAAAAAAACAAAACAAAAAGAAACCCACAGTTTTTGCCTTGTATTTCCCCTTGTCAGGACACCACTCCTGCTCTGCAGGCATATGCACACAAGCTGTTTGGGTACACAAAAGCTGTTCTGGCACAGTGTTTAGGGGCTTCCCAGCAGAACACCATAAACAGCCACATTTTGCTTTATGGAATCAAAACACAGAAATTAAATCATAGGGCAAGCCAGCACCCTCTGGGGCAGAGCAGGCACCCAGTGGCAGTCACCACATGCAGCCAGAAAACAATGCCTTGTTCTCTATGTTCTCTAGGCATTTCCTATTTACTTTTTTTGCTAGAGAAAGAAAGCTACAATAAACCTTAGTATGCACACAATATTTGGAACCACCAGTAAGACAAGAAAATGGTCTGGAATCAAGCAAAACTTGGTGGGAAAAACACACCTTAACCATTGATCCATTTAGTGGGTTTCAGGAGGTAAACAGATCAAAACAGGATGCCTCCAGAGACCTTGGAGCTAAATGATCTTAAGGTCCTTTCCAACCCTAGCTGTTCCATGAACTATTCTATGATGCGCATCTACAGCTCATTGCTCTGCTTCTCTCTCCAAAGCCCCCATCAACAAAAGATCCAAGCAGATAAGAAGGCTGCAAGCTGACCTGTTCAAAACAGTAAAGCCAGTATCCCACAGAGAGAAAACCCTGTGGGTTTCACCCTCCACTCCACAGGTAAGTGGCTGATCACAGAATTAGCCCGGGGACTTTTCTGGGGTTTATTTTCCTTTGTTTTTGTCTTGGGTGGGGTGAGGGGGCAGGAAGCAGCTAAGTTACAGACCAAATTGTGAAACCAGCACTTGTGCAAGAGCAGGGGTAGCACGGGGATAGTGACTTTTATTTTTCAAGCAACAATGTTAGCATGTTGTGCTTAAGGTAATACATCAAGCTATGGCTTTGGTTCAAGCTTCAGCAACAACAGATTAACTGAGGACAGAGGGATGAGGAGGCATCATAGCCCCTCCTGGGAGCCTGAGGAGCATCCTGGGTACAGGAGTATGGGAGAAGACACAAGATCTTGTGGTTCAAAGCCTGCCTCAGGAAATACACTCTCATGAAAACAAATCTCACTATAAATCTCACAATCAAATCTCACCATTTGTCCAACTGCTTTCAATATTTTTATTATATTTTTCTTTGTTTTGTTTTGTATTATGTAAAGCATATTAGAATTAAAAACTCCTTAGGAAGAGCATACAGTATTAACACACTATAGCAAGTTACCATACCACATGCCACTAAAACACGAAAAGAAGCATTAATAAAAAGTGTAACAAAAACTCTGTGCTAAAGAAACTGCACACAGCTCCTTATGACTCACTTCAAAGAACTGACAAGGATCTCACCCAAGTACCTGGGTAATTACCGAGGTAGCACATAACTGGGAAGCATATGGCTAGACGTTTCCATACACATCAGAAACAGCAGACATCTGAAGGGAGATGACTGCAAGTGATTAATTTACATTAATAAAATGAAAGATGGCATTACCACAGCAAGAGGACTTCAACCCAGAAGCTGCGATTCCCAGGGCAGCAGGCACTGCGACTCACGCCTTCTTCACAGCAATGCAGGGGTGCAGAACTGGGTAAGGACTCTTGGAGGCTGCTCCTTGTCATCTCTTCCCCCCACACCCATTTCAGGTTCTATTATTAGCAGGCAATTCAGCAACACTGGGCTGCATACATACTCAATTTACAGAAACACTAAACTCTCTTAAACAGGATGAAAACTGAGTGGTATTGCAAACTAATGTATATGCTGATATTTAAAGCAGTTAGTCAGCTTTTTTAGTTACACAAACTTGCAAGCATCCTGCAGTTATCCAAATAAACAGGTCTTTCCTGAAATAGGAAAATTCACCCTAGAATAAATTTAAACCCATCTCTATTTTTAACAGACATTTTTTAACTCTTAATTTTTGTTGTCAGAATGGTGTATTCTGCTCTTCTGTTTGTTTAAGCAACCACAGCCCCTACATCCTTCCTTATCTCAGTCTCAAGAGTAGTATCATCAGACAAGCACCCTAATGTTTAATTCTCAGTGTTTGTGGTCACTTGTGGTCCCCAGGAAACACATAATCCAGCAGGGTCCCAGGGACTGCAGAGAAGTTACTTGAGAGAGGGAGGCAGCTCCGCCTGCTCATGGCATATTTGAGCAGGCAGGCAGAGTAAAGCAGGTGCAGAAATAGTTAAGGACTATCTTCCCCCACGCTGTTTAGCTTATGAGAAGACAGACAGCTTAGTTTATTTGTCTTGGCAAAATGAAAGCTGAAAATGAAAAACACTCCTCCTGAAATGTGCCAAAATAAACACCAAGGAAGGAAAAGAGATCTCTCAGCAAAAGGACATTAACAAAAAGTCAAATAAGTATGAACTTGGAGAACAGATTTATTTTGAAAATTACTTAATACTTCCAACCACCGGAATCCCAAAGTTTTGAAACAACTTTCCTATCAATGTAGGAAAGGGAATTTGTTTGTTAAATGCAGCCAGGTTATTATGAACAGATTACTTCAGCCATTGGCAGCTTTTTAACAATCTGTTTTTCAATCAGCTGCGCCTCAGGAATAGGAAAATCCTGCTTGGGTCTCCCATATAACCAATGGAGAGCATGCATCAATGAAAGCTAACACTGCGTGAACAGGGCCTTTTCTACCTTTACACATATATACCCAAATGTCGTATGTGACTTCTTATCGCTTCCCAACTCCCACCTATCAAACAAAACAAAGAAATACTTTCAAAAGCCATAAAAGCATACCTCAGTAGTACAGTGTTACACAGTATTCTCTTAGGTACAGTAATGCAGGCTACAGAGCAAAAGCAGCACAAATCAGGTTCCTTGGTTGTGTCATAAGTTTCTGGCAGCAAGCATTTGCTCACACCTCACTGAAGTGGGTTTGGTCTGTTCTGTATTGATTTACAAATTCCATATGTTAACCCGATTATACAAGTGTTTAACATCCAGATATGCTCATTTAACTGAATAAAGGACTTCCTAGAAAAGACATTTATTTTCTCTTTCAGCTTAAGAAAAGCTCCTCACCAAATACATAACTTGTCCCAGGCATGTTAGAGAGTTCAGCCCTACTCCATGGCAGTAATACCCTGCTGGAGGTACATTTCTAACAATAAAACCTGTCCAGGCTTCATCTGGGATATAGATAATTTCCTACCTAGTAGCTGGTGCAGTGCTGTGTTTCAGCTTTAGTCTGAGAACAGTGCTGGTAACACACCTTATCTCTTTCAGTTGCTAAGTAATGCTTACTCTAACCAAGGACTTTTTTAGTCTCTCATGTTCTGAGAGTGAGGAAGGGCCAAGAAGCTGGGAGGAAGCAGAGACAGGACACCAACCCAAAGGGGTATTCCATGCCACAGCACCTCATGACCAGTATATAAACTGGGGGGAGCTGGCCAGCAGCCACCAATTACTGCTCAGGCTGGGCACGGGGCAACAGGCATTGTGCATCACTTGTCCATCTCGGGTTTTATTCCTTTCTCTCTCGATTTCCTTTTTCTTTTATTTCCTTCCCACAGTACGAATAATCAGCCACTGGAATAATCTTCCCAGGGAAATGGTGGATTTCCCAACACTAGACATTTTGAAGATCCAGCTGGACAAGGTGCTGGGACATCCAGTCTAGGTCATGCTTTGCCTAGAAAGTTTGGACCAGATGATTCATGAGGTCCCTTCCAACCTGGTTTTGTATGATTTCACTTTAATTCAATTACTAAACTGTTCTTATCTCAAACCACAGGCTTTACCTTATTTTTCCAATTCTTATCGCCATCCTAGGTGTGGGATGGTGAGTAGATGAGTGCTTAGTTGCTGGCTGAGGTTAAACTACAAGAGTATATTTTGGCACTCAACATAGGGCTCCAGGAATTTGAGGTAATGGAGAGGTAAGGGGGAAAACCAGGGACCGAACAATGTTAGAGAATGAATATGTGAAATTCTGTGGTTGCAGCTGTGGTAAAGGCATGGGGGGTGGACTGTGGGTGTAAAGTCTCCACTTTCCTTTAGTGCTCTGGTGATGTTATTTTGACTTTGCTGTGGGGAATTCTTTTTTTTCTTGACGTAAGTGAAGTTTGTGAAGACTGTGTGAGGAACAATGATTTTTGTGATAATTCTTAAATATGTGATTTACAGAGGCAAGGTTGGGGTAGAGGGAAGGCTTCTACGAGAGGCTGCTAGAGGCTTCCCCCTCATGTCCAACAAAGCCAATGCCTGCTGGCACCAAGGCCAAGCCCATCAGTGATGGTGGTAGCACCTCAGGGATAAGATTTAAGAAGGGGAACAAAATGTCAACTGTAGGCAGAGAGACAACAGCAACAACCACACAGAGAGCCAGGTCAGTGCAGAAGGAGGGGAGGAGGTGCTCCAGGCACCAGAGCAGATTCCCCTGCAGCCCATGGTGCAGCCCATGGTGAGGCAGCTGTGCCCTTGCAGTCCATGGTGGTCCATGGTGGAGTACGGGGACACCCAAAGGAGGCTGTGACCCTGAGGGAAGCCTGCGCTGGAACAGGCTCCTGGCAGGACCTGTGGCCCCATGGAGAGAGGAGCCCACACTGGAGCAGGTTTGCTGCAGGACTGGTGACCTCACAGGGGATCCAGGTTGGAGCAGTCTGTGCCCGAAGGGCTGCACGCATG